AAAAAAAAAAAAAAACCTTTCATAATGACCCACATACAGAACCGAAGGACAAAAAGGGAAGCCAAGTGACTGAAAATCCATCTGCATTTACATCTTTGCTACTCTGGACATCTTCATCATTTTCCGCTTTCTCTGCAGACATGTGGACTACAGCTGCCTGACAATCAAATTCGTAGGCCTCTTCCTGTGAAATGACGTCTAGAGACTGACCAGCCTCTGTCTAAAGACCCAGAAGAGAGAATCTGACTGGTGCAACTTGGGTCACATAGTGACCAGCTAAGACCAGAGGGGCAGAGTCTCCTAGTCTGGTTGTCAATGCCCACTGCAGTGAATGGGGGACATTTTCTGTTTACTAGAATGCACTATCAACACATCCCCCAGACTTCTTCCATTAAACAAGTATTTATCCACATTAGAGGTAGAATAGTTAATTTTTGGCATGTCTCTGTCCACCCCTTTGCATTTTATGCTCTAGCTACAAAGAAATGCTTGTAGCTCTATCTGCACAGCCTCTCCTTCCCACCCCCATAATCAAACAATTTCATTCCTAAATTCCTATGGTCCTCTGTGCTTAAAATGGTACTCCTATCTTCCTGGACTTATTCACCTTCCTAGGCTGGGCTGTCTCTTTTATTCATCACAACATCATGTACACACAAATCTCTGTCACCATCATTCCAACTTTATCATTTGTAATTTACTGTCTAGGTTTTCACATTAAAAAGATTTTTTTTGGCCAGGGCTGGGTTTGAACCCACCACCTCCAGCATATGGGACTGGCACCCCACCCCTTTGAGCCACAGGCGCTGCCCTAAAAAGATTTTTTTTTTAAATAACTTTTTGTAGAGGCAGGATTTTGTTACATTGCCCAAGCTGGCGCCCTGTCTCAAGTGATCCTCCCACCTCGTTCTGAGTGCCGGGATTACCCAAAGTGAGCCAGAGAACTCAGCCAGTTCCAGGATCTTTATGACCCCAGACACTGTGGGCCTGGCCTGTAGTGGAGGCTGCAGAATGGTTGAATGATATCTCTAAAAGTTTCCTTTTAACTAATAATTGACTCTCTGAAGTTAGAAGACAGGGTATCATTACAAGAAAAGTATTGTCTGCACGAACCCCTTAGGATTGTTAACTGTCAAAGTTCTAATAGTCTGGAAGTGCTAACCAAACTCTTTTGTGAGACAGTCAGCATGCCCCCAAGAGAAACTTCTGTTTGTTTGAAAACCAGGCTGCTTACCTGGTTCCCTAACCAGCTTAATTTTCTCTTACAACTTCTGCTGGGATGGTCCTTCCTTCCTTTAGGTGAAATTTCGATTTAGGGAAGTAATGGTCACAGCATTATGAAATTATTTTTTTTTTCTGCACATACACATTGTTTTTCAAAGCGATTTTCATTCGCTACATCCTGCAGTCCTGCAGACTTTCAACAACTTTAAAAAGTACAAGGTTAAGGCATTTGAGAAATGTTCACCTTGATTTTCAGTCCTCAAGATACACACTTTTTTCCCCCTTAGTCTTAAAGCTCACTACTGCACTCCAGTCCTAAAGGATTTGACTCTACAACTTCCAGCTTAACATGAAACGTGCTTCTCTTTCTCTCCCCACGTCCCTCTTCCACATCAGAAAGGCAAACGCTGGCTGATCCTAAAAAGAGAATTTTGCAAACGGTTAGCTTATGATAATCTCAGGTTTGGGGGAAAGGGGATAAAAAAGCACCCCCCTCAGATGAGAGTTTTAAGCTTAAGGCTCCCAGGTAAAAAATAAATAATAAACAACAGCAAAACCTCCAAGATCCTCTTGGGTAGCCCCCTCCAGCCCTAATAAATGAATTAGCATCTCAAGAAGGAGATCACTGCAGGGCTGATATCGATCAGGGTCAGCCGGTGTGTTTGCCTGCGATTGTTTGGGGGGTGGTTAATTGAGTGTCAGTCTGGGCCAGTGTCGTCTCGCTGGCGCCGGGTGCTTTTGGATTTGCTAATTTTCGTTAAGTGTCTCTAGCCGGCTACTCGTCCCCAGTCTACCAGGGAGGACCTAGCGGCTCCTACTGATCAACAGTCTGTCTGTCTGGGCTTTATTGATCACAGGGCGGGCAGCTTGAGGCGGATGCTCTAAGAGGGAGAGGGGGAGAGGGCTGAAAGCAGACCCCAGCGCCAGGCCGCCCCCCCCCTTCCTGGCTCCCTGGCAGACCCCCTCCTTTGCCACACGCGCCACGCTGGGGCACCGGCACTCTTCCCTGGGGTCCCGGAGGGCTGGCCGGGGAGGGCTCTCAAGGGCTGCCACGAGGGTCTTTCGCGTGTTTTGCGGGGAACAAAAAAGAACCACGGGCTGCGGGATGATGGCCAGAGGCCGAGTTCCAAGGGTCTCGGAGGGAGTGCCAGGCGCTGACCCGGAGGCTCGCCTCACCCCGCGCCCCCCGAAGGTCACGAACGCACAGGTCTCCGCAAGGGGGAGCGCGGGAGACGGCAGCCCGCAGGCCTGAGCCCAGACGCCGGCGTCTGGGCCCGCTCCCCGCCGCGGGGCTGATTGACAAGAGCGCAGCTACCAATAGGACGGCGCAGGCGGTGCCGGGGGCGGTGCCGGGGGCGGGGCTGGGGCGGGGAGGTGCCAACCGGCTCCCGGCTCGGGGCTCTATTTACTGCGCCGACCCTGCCGGGCAGAGGCGGGTGCAGGCAGGAGCTCGCTGCGGGTCGTCTCGGCGCACGCTTGGCGGCTCCCGCGGGCTTCGCGGAGAGCGGCAAGTCGAGGGGGAAGAAAGCCGGAGCCCACCCCGGCCTGCGGTGGCGTCGAGGGCAAGCGTGCGTCGGCGGGCACAAGCTGGGAGAGGGAACCGGTGGCGGCTGAGTCGGGCTGCACAACTTTTCTCGGCTCCTCCGCCCGCCCTCCAGCCCCGATCCATGCCCTGGCCGCGGCCCGGCTACTCGTCTCGTCGCTGACGGCGCCCGCCGCTCCGGACAGGACCCATGCCCTGCGCGCTCCGGGGGCCGTAGGCTGCAGTGGCGCCGCGGCTCCGGGGCCGGCGGGGGCGCCGCGGACGTGGGGGGCGTCAATGGATCGCCACTCCAGCTACATCTTCATCTGGCTGCAGCTTGAACTCTGCGCCATGGCCGTGCTGCTCACCAAAGGTGGGTGCCGGGCGGCACGCGGGGTCCCCGGAGAGGGGCGCGCGGGGGGTCAGGGCCGCCGCGGGGCTTTGAAGCCGGCTGCCAAGGCTTTGTTAGCGGCGGGCGAACTTCCCTCCCGCGCTGGAGCCGCAGGTCGCGACAAGTTGCTCTGTTCTTAGAAGTCGCGGCGGTGGCCTGGCGGCCGCCCCCTCAACACTCCCGGACCCAACACGTTGGTTTCAACTCAGACCTCAGGGCACGCAGTTGTCAGGGGGCTTCCAGGTCCGTCCGTGGTGGACTTTGCACATTTGCAGATCTACCGGGGAGCGGGGCCCCCGAGTGCCGCCCAGGCGCCGGGCGGCCAGAAGGAACTGCGGGACCTGGGCCCCCCGCTCCAGTGTGCCCGACCGTGTGTCCGCGTGTCTCTGTCCGTGAGCGTCTCCGTGGGTGTATGTCTGAATGTGTTTATGTGAGGGTCTCGGCGTATGTCTTTGTGTGTCTCTCCGAGTGTTACGTCTCTCTGTATCTCAGTGTGGGTCTCCGAATGTATTCCTGCCCCCGACCGTGTCTCGGAATACGTCTTTCAGAGTGTGTGCCTGTGAGTCTTAGTGATTGAGGGACTCTCGGGACTGAGTGTGTCCAAGGGGTATTTGTGTACAGAAGTGTGTGCTGTTTTTAAGTGGCCTGGAGGAGTGGGTCCTGTCAGCTGTCCCGTTTCCCACCCACCTCATATTTTACAAACACCACTCTAAAATAAAAAAGAAAGAAAGAGAAGTCAGTGGTCAGTTTCTTCTTTCCCCATCTGGCGTTTACCTTTGGGATGGATGGAAATAACCCATGGATTTCAAGGTTCCCCTCACCTCCCTGTCATGAACTCCTCCGTTCTGTGAACCGATATATATGTGTATATATATATTTTTTTTTTCTTTTTTTAAATAGGAAGCATTATTTAGCATTTGCACCCCACCCCCCAGTTCTCTCTAATTGCCATGTAGCAGGCATGAGGTTAAAGGATAAGCTAGCCCAGCAAGGATGATGTGCTACAGTATTTATTTATTTTGGAAGGAAGGGTGTAATTAACCCTAAATAACAGCCCTTGCAGCCTGCAGAGGGGAGCCTCCTGGCCCTATCAAAGGCTGGCAGAACAGGGAGGGACTGTGGCTGACATGAAGTCACAGATACCGAAACTATGTGCCTGATAATGATATAATTAGGGGATCAGAGATTTCTGGCTGCTGTGGACTTCAAAAGCTTTAAAAGAAGCCAGCAGTCTCCTGTAGCCATCTTGACTAAAGCAGACATTTTTGTTTAATCACTACATACAGTAACAAGAAAAGGGGAAACAGAGGAGCATTGTTCACTGTTTCAAAATACCAGTCCCCTCTCTGGCCTTTTGCATGCCACAGGAAGAAACTTTATGAAACAACAGAAATATAGTTTTAATACAGTAATACAAAAGTCCATTCTCCTTACTAAAATGTGGCTCCAATTAAAAAAAAAAGTTGTTAGAACTTTTCCAGTTACCTGTCAAAATTTTATTAGACTGTTTTTAGGTCATTGAAAATGTAGCATTTTAAATAGGCACTCGTAAACATTTAAGCAGCATTTTACCTGTATTCGGTTTTCTTTTTCTGTACCAGGTCTAAGGCTAATAGGATCAAAATGGGCTTTTAATCTGTTACATTTACGTTTTAATTCTCTATATGGAATTTGCCAGGCTAGGGATATGTAGTCCATCACCATATAAGATGGGTGAGCTTTATGTGAAATATAGAGTAAGCTTTGTAGAGGGAAAAGAACAGGGAAAAACTTCTGCAAAACAAGCTTCTTACTTGAAACAGATCAGCTGAGGGTCTTGGGCCCACACCCAGGGCAGGGAGTACAGATTTAGGAGCAAGACCTTGAGCTTTGGACTGTTACAGAGGTTGACAAAGATCTGTTTTCGTGGGCTGGTTTTTCTTAGAACTGAAGCATTAGCGGCCTCGCAGAGTAGGGGAGCATATCATACGATGGCCTGGAATTTGGACAGATAATTAAGTGAGGCACCTTACTCAGACATTCACAGAGGGGAGGGAGGTAGAGGGAAGGTGAGGTGGGAAGAGGTTTGCAAAGCAGTAACCCTCCTCTTTAATTTCAGAGTGTAGGTTTCAGTAACTCGACAGATCTTCAGGTAGGAAATGGAATAGGTAGGCACTAGTTCAATTTACAGTAGCTCTAGCCGTGACAAGTAACAAAGGCCGGAGTCTGCCAGTTGTGTGTCACCATAGTGATAACTTTAAGACCCTGGTTATATCGACTAGAAATCGATGTTAAAGCCTCGGGGTCTCGTATTGTGACAAAACGTTAACAGAGCCTTGAAACTCGCAAAATGAGTTTTTATAAAGGAAACTTTTAAGCACTTCCTGTAGAAAATTTGAGGTTTCCTTAAGGATTTTTCATTCAACCAGCAGAGGATTTTCAGTTTCAGGGTTTCCCTTTTTAGATCACATGTTGAATTGCATGTAAAACTTGGAGGGAGGAGGAGGAGGAGAAGTTAGCCTCGCAGTTTTATACCCCCTCCACTTTTATGACTTTCCATTTGGGCTGAAAGAAATTGACTTTGGCAAGCAAACCACTAATTGTAAACTGCCTAGTTCCTGTTTTACAATATACTGACTAAAAGCTCCTCTGCATGAAAAGATCTTTATAGGCAAAGTTTGCCTTTTCTAGAGAGGTTGCAAATAGCTGCCTAGTTTCATAGTTTTAAAACCTCCTGACCTGAGCAATTTCTAGATTGTTGTGTTTCCAGTTAATAACTTTACAAGGTGTTACCTAGAGCTCTTAAATCTTGGCGCAGTCCTTTGGGATAGTAAACAATTCAGTAGTTCCGACCAAATATTTATACTGACAAAATCAAAAAGCCTAGCATTTGTATGTTGTTTGGTTAGATAGGGTTAAAAATGAATAAATCATGTAATTTACCTTCTGGTAGGAGCAATTATACTGATTATTATTTTTCTTCAAAAAAACCCAACGAGTCTTACCGTTAATTCTCCTCTTAACTCATCAGAAATCTGCTATTGGGATTACTGCATTTCTAAAATTATAGTCAACTGAATTGAAACTTAAGCGCTTGATGGCACAAAGGGCTTTTCCAGTCAACAGTGGACTGCTGTTGTAAGCACTCAGCTTGAATAATCTACAAGTTGGTGCCTTTGAACTTGGGATTTAGCAATTGCTTCAAGACAAGAGTTGCTTTCTCTGGTCTCCCGAAGCACAGTTTGACGTGATTTCTCCTTGCTTTCAGGTGAAATTCGATGCTACTGTGATGCTGCCCACTGTGTGGCCACTGGTTATATGTGTAAATCTGAGCTCAGTGCCTGCTTCTCTAGACTTCTTGATCCTCAGAACACAAATTCCCCACTCACCCATGGCTGCCTGGACTCTCTTGCAAGCACAACAGACATCTGCCAAGCCAAACAGGCTCAAAACCACTCTGGCACCACCATGCCCACGTTGGAATGCTGTCATGAAGACATGTGCAATTACAGAGGGCTGCGTGATGTCCTCTCTCCTCCCAAGGGTGAGGCCTCAGGTATAGAAGCCTTTTCTAGTTAGACCGCCTGCCTGATCTATAGACTTGTGACAGCCCTGACTTTGTATGTCTGCTATTGATTTTGTTGTTAATGTAATTAGAGACACCAGGGGGAGAAGTGCGGCTGGATGCAAAGATGCATCTCTACTGAGTGGCTTTTATGTCTGCCTGAGCATTAGATGTCTGTTGACATAATAGGTTTTGCCTGTTTTTTCAACATTTTGAAGACATTAAAAGGCCATTACATCTCAGTAATGACAGCCTGTAAACAAGTGCGTTTGTAAGCTTCTCTGGGTAGTTTTGCAATATTTACTTTCTAAATTATCGTTGATTTAATTGTAGGCTTCTTTTTAATGGGATTCCTTGCTTAAAATGGAGAGATGACCATCGGTATCCCCGGGGAGGAGCTAGCATACAGTTTGATCATCTTCCTTTCCCTATTCCTTTAGGGCAAGGAAACCGGTACCAGCACGAAGGTAGCAGAAACCTCATCACCAAGGTGCAGGAGCTGACTTCTTCCAAAGAGTTGTGGTTCCGGGCGGCCGTGATTGCTGTGCCCATTGCTGGAGGGCTGATTTTGGTGTTGCTGATCACATTGGCCTTGAGGATGCTTCGAAGTGAAAACAAGAGGCTGCAGGATCAGAGGCAGCAGATGCTCTCCCGTTTGCACTACAGTTTCCACGGACACCATTCCAAAAAGGGGCAGATTGCAAAGTTGGACTTGGAGTGCGTGGTGCCGGTCAGCGGGCACGAGAACTGCTGCCTGACCTGTGACAAAATGAGACAAGCGGACCTCAGCAACGATAAGATCCTCTCGCTGGTTCACTGGGGCATGTACAGTGGTCACGGGAAGCTGGAATTCGTATGACGGAGTCTGACCTGAGCTAAACTTCTGGAACCCTTGAAGGCCTTTTGAGTTCTGCTGGACAGGAGCACTTTATCTGAAGTCAAATAAACTCATGTAATCATCTTTGAGAGACAAAAATGATCTCGGCAAACAGAATCTGGGATATTTCTTCTGAAGGATTATTTGCACAGACTTCAATACAGTCAAATGTATTATTTGCTTCAAAATTATGAAAAGCAAAGAGAAGACTATGTACACACTGTTGTTACCAGGGCGATTTGCATCTGAGGGAGCTGGAAACGAGTACCTGAAATAAACGAAACTGTGCTCCCTGTAAGCTTCTACATCCTGATTTATTGTCAAGATTTAAAAGAAATATATATATATTTTGTCTGAAATCTAGTGTTGTCTTTTGTACATTAGTGGGAAGTGTAAGAAAGGGCAATGGTTTTGTACAATGAGGATCAGCTCTGGTGCTCCTACAGAGAGGCTGGGTCTATAGGATGAAGCTTGATTTTCTTTCCCCCCCTCTGAACCAGGCCAGCGTATTTATTCTTACAGCATGGCATTTCAGAACGCATGCTGACCATTAGTCTTACCCACATGGTGTGTTAGGATAATTCTAGCTTTTAGCTTTCATCTCAGAGAGATACGAAACTTACAATTTATGCTGGGTCTGATAGGATGGATCCGTTTCTCAAGCAGCCTTAGCAAGGATAATATTTATCAGCTTGATCCGGTTTCTCTGCAACACTTCTGCAAATGTGTCTACCTCCACCCAAAAAAGAAAGGGGAAAAAAAAAATCATAGGGGTGGCACCTGTGGCTCAAAGGAGTAGGGCGCCAGCCCCGAAGGCGGCAGGTTCAAACCCGGCCTGGGCAAAAACTGAAAAAAAAACCCAACAAATCATAACTAAACAAATGTTTTGGTCCATTATCTACTTTTACTGTTGGTGAATTGACCAGTTTTATTTCAAACCAAATTAAAACAATTTGGCTTCCTAATTAGCCAGACTTTATTTGTGTAATGCTCTTAGTTTTTAAAGCTTCTTTTTTTTTCAATTCTTAAATACAGTGTTACCCCCTAAAATTTTTTTAGTTTTAACATCTCTTAGTCCTTAGAAAAGTTTTCAAGCACAAGTGTTATACCGCATAGGCCAATTGAAGTTTAAAGTTTCTTTCTCCTAAATGAATCATTTTAGTACTATGACGAAAAAGAACATTGGCTTTAGTCAGTAACTAATACTACTAAGTAACAATGTTTCATCCTGTAACCACTCTGCCTGGTCACACCTCCCAGCCTGAATTTAAACCATACCCGCATTTGTGTACTTCTCTCTCCAAATGTTATCTTTGTTATTTTAAATGTGTGAGTAATTTGCCCTGGAGTTTTTCTTCATTCTTGTGTGTATTTAAAATTCTTGCTTAAAGATTAACCTGTAGCCTTCATATTTGAGTATGGGGTTTTCTTCTTTTCTTTTTTTTTTTTTAAATGAAGTCAGGTTGGAAAGATTTTAATATTTTTAAAGTTTTTTTTTTGCATATTCGGTACTAGACCATTTTATACTAAGCATAATTCGAATCCCTTAAGAAAACAAGTCCAGGCTCGGTGCCTGTGGCTCAAGCGGCTAAGGCGCCAGCCACATACACCTAAGGTGGCGGGTTCTAATCCCCAGCCCGGGCCCGCCAAACAACAATGACGGCTGCAACCAAAAAAATAGCCGGGCGTTGGGGCGGGCGCCTGTGGTCCCAGCTGCTTGGGAGGCTGAGGCAGGAGACTCGCTTGAGCCCAGGAGTTGGGGGTTGCTGTGAGCGTGATGCCATGGCACTCTACCCAAAGGGGATAGCTTGAGGCTCCGTCTCAAAAAAAAAAAAAAAAAGAAAACAAGTCCAGTTGCCAAGTTCACAGAAGAATCTTGAGTTAAAATATGTGTAATAATGAGAGCTAGATTAGTGGATAGTTAATAGATGGCCTGCCTCAAATTAGGCTATGGAATAAATATATATCTTAATAAATGATAGCATTTGTATTATGCTTTTTTGAGATCAATGGCTCTTGCCTGCATGCCTTATAATATATAAAAGGTGTTAGGTCTTATGTATGACAATTGTTGAAGGATTTTTTTTTTGTGGGAGCCAAAGAATGGTTAAACCTAAGAGAATTGATCAGAATCAGCATTTGGCGTAAGCTCCACCCTCCCCTCCCCTCCTGCTGGCCATCAAATCACAGCGGTTTTGTAAACTTGAAGACCAAAGACTCCTTACTCCATTACACAAGCTCAGTGGTAGCGCATCTTATTATCAGCTACATGCAGTCCAGTTTTTCCTTGGTTTGCCCCAGTATTATTGCCTGTTTACACCATTTCTCCCAAGTACCACTTAAGTGGGAGTGTAGCAATTCCTTAGGAAATAAAACAACAAAGGATTTAAAGTCACGTGCTTTGAAATCAGTATACCCAGCCCTCCGCAAAAGCCTTGGGTCTGGTGTGAGTCACAAAGTTGGAAAATGAACCACAAAGTGTCCCCACTGGGTCCTGTGTGTGCCGTGGTCCGGCCTCTTGTTTTTTCTGTGTATTCCTGAGGCTGTCCAAGCGATTTACAGCTCCCTATAGTCTAGGGAGCGGCACTGTTCTCTTGGCCTTAAAGACTTCTGTTTTCTGGGGTGCAAATTCGAGCTACTGAAGAGGCCAGCCCTGTCTTCCCCCCCCCCCAGAACATACCCATCTACTTTTTGACATTTCATTTAGTATGTTCGTATTTGTCTTGAAGACAGAGTCTCACTGTCACCCTGGGTAGAGTGGGGTGACCTCATCATAGCTCACAGCAACCTCATACTCTTGGGATATAGTGATCCTCTTGCCTCAGCCTCCCAAGTAGCTGGGACTACAGGTGCCCACCAAGATGTCTAGCCATATTGTTAGTAAAGATGGGGGTCTCACTTGGCTCAGGCTGGTTTTGAACTTAAGAACTCAAGCAGTCTACCACCACTGCTTCCCAGAGTGCTAGGGTTACAGATGTGATCCACCCCATCCAGCCTCAGTTACCTCATTTAGTATTTTTTTTTTTTTTTGCAGTTGTCATTGTTGTTTAGCTGGCCTGGACCAGGTTTGGACCCGCCAGGCTGGGTGTATATAGCCAGCGCCCTACCCACTGAGCTATGGGCACCACCTCATTCAGTATTTAGATCATGTCCTCATCACGACCAGTTTTACAGTGGGATCTGTGCATAACTTCACTTTTCAGTGAAAATATTGCATGTTTTTCAACTTTGAATTGTCCTATGAACTACCTAGAAAACGTACTTCTGCTTCCCCCTGAGAGTGTAGAAATTGCCAAGAGCAGGGAGCTTCACTGAATGGTGGTGGTAACTGATGTATCTGTGTTTCCCCCTTAAGAGATACTTGCCCTTACCACAAAGCCAGGCTAACCGTGAATAACCCTTGTTTAATACCATCATGGAACACCCCCGACAAAAGTAATTTTTCTTTCTGAGTGGACATTTGCTCACACCAGAGACAAAGGGGACAAAAATTGCCAAGATGTTTCTGTATCTCTGCCCCTTAGATTCTACTCCTTTTGAAACAAGTGATCGGCACACAGTTAGGTCTTTCATGTGATTTTTCCTCCTTATTTTGAATGGCTGAGAGGCTTCCTAGAAATTGACTGGTGTGTCTCTAATTTCTGCTGAACTGATTTTATTAAAAACACTGCACCATAGGGGGTTTGACCTTCTAAAATACCAAACATGTCTGCTTTAGAAAATCACAAAGCTCTCCTCTGAAGAGCTTGTAAATCTGGTTTCAATATGAGTTGATTATAGGCTAAAAGCTTGAAAGCGGTGGCATCTAGGATCATGACTTTGGAACCGGTCCTTTTGGGGCCAGGACAGTTTTTTTTTTTTTTTCTTCATAACCTCTAATTGGTTCTTTTTGCTGCCTCTTAGCATAAATAACTTCAAAACTTCCAAGGCTATGTGAACTTGGGCAAATTATGTAAGCTCTTAGAATATTCAGTTTTGTTGCCTGCAAAATGGGGCAATAATCACACTTCATAAGATGATTGTGAAGAGATGGTGTAGCTACACATATTCCTGTTAATTTATACAACAGTCTTGGATGAGATGGCCCATTATAACATTCCTTAAAATTTGAGGACTTGGGCTTATTATATACTTATACAGTGACTTTTCCCTTGACTTTTAAATATTTATTTACTTATTTATTTATTTTGAGACAGAATCTCAACTCTTGTCTCCCTAGGTAGAGTGCTCTGGCATCATAACTCACAGCAATCTCAAACTCTGGGGCTCAAACCATCCTCTTGCCTCAGCCTCCTGAATAGCTGGGACTACAGATGCCTGGCCCAACACCTGGCTATTTTTAGAGACAGGGTCTCGCTCTTGCTCAGGCTGGTCTTGGACTCTGCTTATTTTGGCCTTCCAGAGTGCCGGGAGTACAGGCACAAGCTGCAGACTTTTTTAATATATATATTTTTTTTTTTTTTTTTTGAGACAGAGCCTCAAGCT